TGTATGCATGTATGTACGTATGTATTTATGCATGTGCGTATGTACGTGTGCATGTATGCGTGTGTGTGTGTGTATGTATATATATATATATATGTATATATAGATCCGTGTATATATATATATATGTATATAGATAATTATACATATATATATATATGTATATACATATATATATATATGTTGATATTGCCTAAGTGACATGTATATATGCGCGCATATAAGTATAAGTACATAAATATAGGTACTCATCTTTCTTTGTTTCCTGTGTTTTTTGCGCTGACCGCCCTAAATGCGAAGGTTGGCGGCACTTTGGGCCTTCGTGGTGACCTGGTGCGCCGCAGAGGAAGGTGCCGCCTTTGGCCGTTTTGGCTTTTCGATGTCGGTGTATGCGGCTATCACCACTACTGTTATTATATATTACTAAAGTTATTACGAAAATTTATTGGTTTTTTAATTATTGTTATTACTAATGCTGCTGTATGGTGCGATTTGATGGTCGTCTGTTTGGCAATGCTATCCATGATGTTGCCTTCCTGCGACACCCACTTGTTCGGGATCTTTACAGAAGCCATATCTTTGCTGATGAGCCACTGTCTACATACCGGAACTAATTGCACGGCGTCTCGGATTCCTAACAGACTGTCCAAGCTGGAGCGCGACATACTGCCGAGAGCCCTGTTTCTACAACTCAACTGCATGATTCAGCTTTGCTCGGGGTCCAGGTTTGGCTAAGCAGGAGTATCGCTCCAAGAGAACACTGCGGCCACTACAGTAGCAGAAACCAGTCACTACGTGCATGTTGGTGCACATCCTGTCCTGTGCAGGCGAGGATGTCAAGGGACCGATGATAACCAACAAGGTGGGGCGGCAGATGACGGGATCGCGATTTTTGGAGTCGCAGGAGTTGTGGTAGGTCGAGAAGATCTGTGAGCTGCGATGAGGTTTACTTCGATGTGACCATTGGCGGCAAGAAGACCGGCCGCATCGTCATGGGCCTGTACGGCAAGAAGGCAGCAGAGTCTGCAGGGTGTCATGGCAGGATGCAGCTGTCTTGAATGACCCTAAACCCTAAACCCTAAACCCCTAAACCCTAAACCCCTAAACCCTAACAAAGTTTCTGCAGGTCCCAAAAACCGTGGAGAACTTCCGTCGCATCCTCAGCACATCCTGGACCTGGCCTTGACTTGGAAGCGCTGTCTATGCTGAGGGTCTGTTACAAGCAGACATCGCCACATAGATGTGTAGCATCCCCTATGGTACCCTGATAGAACCCTTATTATGGTACCCTGATAGAACCCCTTATGGTACCCGAACAGAACCCTTATTATGGTACCCTAAGAACGGAACTGTTGAGCAAGGCCAGCGGCAAAATTTGACACCCAACACCCAAAACCCTAAACCCAAAACCCTAGCCCCAAAAAGCTCGATGTGGTTCTTGCTTGAAGTGGTCGGACCCGTGGGGCTGCCCAGTACCCTTGGAGCCTCAAGCCCCTGAGCCGCAGGTCCCAAAGCCTATGAATACGGCTCAAATATTGTAATATATATATATATATATAACTATTTATATATACTCTAGATATTATACGTGATATGTTATGTGTTACATGTTATGTACTCTATGTTATATATTAAATAAAATAATATTATGTGATAAAAGAATGAGGAGGGTCCTGAGCCCCAGGGGTCTACGTCGCCATTTATCAACTCAAGGCCCGAAGCTCTGAAACCGCGAGAAACTGAGGTGCCCTTTGCACGGGCGAGAAGGGTTTTGGCTACAAGGGCTCCAAATTCCACAGGGTCATCAAGGACTTTGGGATTCCGGGCGTCCGGGGACCGGGGGTTTCGGAGGAAGTGTTGAGGGATGGAGTAGTCTAGGACATGTTTATGGGATGGAGTATTCCTGGCACATGATCCATTGCTCACAACGCAGCAAAGCTCGCAAGAGAGCAATACACGCAATAATATAGTAATAATCATCACAACAACCAGAAACTAAGAATTAGGAGCACGAGGCACTCATGTTACTGCGACAACCCGCTTTTGACGGTGCGGCGGTGAGAGGCTGTCTTGTGGCCATTGGGCTTCATGTTCGAAATCTCGGGCTCAGGTTGTTCAGGGTTCTGCGGTTTTTCAAGTTCACGGTTGCTTTCCTTGGAGGAGATGGGCAAGAGTGCCGCATGTTTGCCTAAGCGAGGCTCGGTGTACACTCAGGTTCAATCCCTCAGCTCCGAGCTGATTCCGCGAAAGCTGAGCTCCTGAACCCGAAGCCTCTACACTCCAAACTTAGGCACTGGGGCGTTCATTTTTGACATACTGTGGTTTTATCAGCTATCGAAAGCGCAGATCTTCGGAAGCATCGAACTGTGGTTCTTGAAAGGGCCCAGCAGATTCAGTCAGTCTCGGAAAGTCGGTGCCTGCATTCACGTTCAGGCGTAGGCCTCTCTGGTTCGTGTAATGTTCGTGTTTTTTTTGCCAGCTTGAGTGGTTTCGGCAGCTGTTTCGGTCAAGCCACAGTTTTTGCGATAGTGTAGTCAGCCTTTCCGCTTTCAAACAATGGCGCTGACAACCCCTCTGACAGAGCTCTTCAAGATCAAGCACCCTGTAATGTTGGCGGGCATGGCTACGAAGCTGCATTATTGCCCCATGGAGCTGAGGGCTTCTGAACTTCGGTCGCTTGAGCCATGCTTGCAGAACCTAGCAAGCTGAGGAGTTCGAAGATGAGAACTAGGGTAACTAGGGCGCTCGTCGATCTGCGACACCTTCACGCTTTATTCACAATACTTCCGTCGTAGAGACCCTTCTGCAAGGCACCACTGCCTGGCTCGGATACCAGAAAATGACCCTGTTTAGTCTGCAAACTATCTGTGGTAGGGCAAAGAAGGAATCGACAAAACCACGGCACAGCGCCGCCCGCTTTAAGCCAACCCTGGGGCGTAAGCCCCATTAGGCCACCCTGGTAGGAGCGACCCGAAACCCTTAACCGTAAGCCCATGTCGGCGCCATCAAGCACAGAAGACCAGAAACCGTAGGCCGCACCAGGAGCTGTGCGAGGTTCGAAGGGGCCTACGTTTGCAGGATCAGGGGCCTACAGGTACTGCCTGCTTATTCTATCCCCGCTTTTAGGAAGTTATGTAACCTTATACCGTAACTTATACCTATGCTCTATATGAACTAAGTCATCTGCGCCTCTACTTCACTCTCAAGTTCAGGCCGGTGCTGCCGGGCCAGAGCTGGCCGCTGCCGTCACAAACGCAGGAGGCGTGCGCTCCGGTCAGTACTGGTTAGGGTTTAAGAATTAGGATTTAGGGTTCAGGGTTGAGGGTTTGGGATGATGCAGACAGGCTGGCTTTGGTTCACAAATCTAGAACATGCAGATTTTAGAGCAACAGAAAGGTAGGTGAAGGTATGTACATACACAAACAGATCGCAGGAATCGCACGTATTGGGCGCAACTCCAACGGAAGTCCACCGTTTCTACACTTGTCGTCGGCGTATTTGCCGTGGTGATTGGCTTACGAGAACTTTCAATCACAGGTGGCTCGTTCACCGCTGTATAGACTTCCCATGAACCTACAGTGGGCGCCGTCCGCCCGAGCTGGAGGGTTCTGACAGAGGTAGTCAACATCTCAGCAATGGGATGAATGTTTGCATGCTAACAAATCAGGTTTGGGCAACATCGGTGCGGCGCTCGGTGTGTCCTTCCAGTGAGTGATCGCATGTGGTCGCTGCTGACCGAGACCGAGATGCGACGTTTGAAGGTCAAATGAAGTTGCTCTTGCCAGTGCTGCTCCCTTCTTCCGAAGGTGTTTGTGATTATCGTTAATTTTACGACCCTGTGCCTGATGTTGACGAAGGCAGTGATGTCAATCAGGGTGATGGCGGGCATTCGCAGTCAGCATGGGCCGAGCCAGCTCCCATGCCCTTAGTAGCACAGCGCGTTGTCCTTGCACGTCTTGCTTGCCGAGTGCCAGATCAAGTGTGCTGAGCTGCTACCGGTATTCGTGATCCGTCCTTCACACGACCAAGTGGGAGTGTAATTGGCTTCGATTCTGAGGTGGCGTCGGCTACACGCCCGAAGCATTGCGCAAGACCATTGGGATGCTGAAGAAGGAGCTAGATCATCGAGCCCGTTTGTCAGCAGCAGCGGGCCTAGCATTAAAGCATATGCAGTCTACTCTATGGGCACAAGACACTGAATGTGTTTCCAGATAGCATAGACGGAGACATGCTTCGCATGAAGGAGCTGAAGGACAAGAATGCACCTTTTGGAGTGGACTTGCTACTGCCGCAGGCCTCTTTGCACGAATTTGGGCTGTCGGGGTTAATACTAGTGCAGCAGCAGGAGGTGTAGGAGCAGTAGTAGTGGGTGGCAACACTAGTACTTTAGCACTAGTAAGATTGCTAGCAGTAGTAGTCGTAGTAGTAGTGGTAGTAGTAGTGGTAGTAGTAGTAGTAGTAGTAGTAGTAGCAGCAGCAGTCGTAGTAGTAGTACTAGCAGTACAAGTCGCCGTAGTCGTCGCCGTTGGTAGAAAGACTTGGCACGCGTCTTTTACTGCGTTCTGCTGTTTGTTCTACAATGGCACTATCCGTGTTCCTGCCACTTCCTTCTTATGACAGGTAATGCTACTCACCTCGGCCCAACTCTTCTCTCTACTAAACACCGCGCGACGAATAGCCACGAGTACGAAGCAGGCAGACAGAATGTTCCCATCACCCACGGCCTCTGTGCAAGGTCGGAGGCGGAGCTCGGAAAACCAACAAGGACTACACAGGCGGAACTCTGCCGCAGCTGCTTGGAGCGGAAAGGTATCAGTCCCTGTGGTGCAGAGAAAAGGAATTGATTTGATGAGTCAGTTGCAGTGTCCAATGAAGAAGAGGGCATCCAGCATTTTTCCTGGCCATCGTAATTGCACGAATCTGAACTCTAGAGACCGGTCACACAGGAGGGAGGTTCCGACATGTTCGGTGGGTTTGATTTAGCATCGAGGCTTAGGCGGAGCATTCTGCAACCGAGACTGGACCAGCGCTTGCGCGAATGTCAGAACAGTGTAATCATGCCATGGTTCCTTCCGGCCCTTCACAGTAATCTTCACAGACTCTGTCATCATCCCACGTCCATGACCAAGTCCCCTCATCTGGAAGCTTGGTGCAATAAACGGATATGCGAGGCTGGTAGACATCATCATTGAGGAGAAGGTGGATTGAGTTGTTCAGAATTTCATTCGCAGTCTAACCGTCTAACAACTGATGCCATGCTGCAGCCCTGCCCGGGGCTCAGGTATGTATGTGTATAATTTCAGGTACGTGTATGTACAAGCGTAAATGTATGCATAAATGTGGTGGCATGTGGGGTTGGATGCCATGGCATGGAATGGCATGGCATGGCGTGTATGTGCGTTCGTGCGTATGTATGTATGAATGTATGCATCCATGTACGTATGTACGTCGTGTGCATGTATGTACTTCGATAACTTGACAGACAGGTAGGCCACTGGATAGATGATATACCTAATGTGTATACATATATGTTACCCAGGGCATGCCCCCGAAGATCCACTGATCCACCATCTAGACAGTACTAGTTTGCACATGCACATGGAAACACAAGTGTGTTATAAAATATACATCATACTCAAAAATATAGAAGGCTGTTTGACTTGAACAACAATATACATACATGTGTGTGTGTATATTTAACGATGTCTACTTGTACATACATGCACATACAAGTTTATTGTCTACTATACTATAATATCGCATACTATAATAAAATCTTACATAGTAGAATATGATATACGAGAATATAAAAATAAAAATAAGAATAATAACAATAATAATATAAAGGACAATATCGTAAAATATAATAAAACGTCGTACCATATCAACAAATACGGTATACTACAATACAATACAATACAACAATACAATATATCTTATGTAGTACTATATGAAACAATTTAATATGAGGTAAAACACATGTACATCTGCATATACATGTGCATACATATATATATATATGTACATACATATTACATATATATATATAGTCATTACTTTGTTTCTTCATCTTCTATGTACTTATTAGCCTACAAATAGCTATGTATATGTACACATACAAATGTGTATGTATGCGTGTGTGCATGTATGTGTATATCTACATAGTGATATAGTCAGATAGGTTCCTTCATGTCTATATGTACGTATATATATATATAAATGTCTAAGGTACAATATACGCATGTACACATGCACAAAAATCCTTGCACACACATACACACATCTGTGTGTATATAAGCAAGCATATATGTACCTACAAATCCACCTACATTGGCGGATGCCAACACCTGCATACAGGGACATATCTTACATTCTGATCTGCATATATATATATGTATATATTTATGTGTGTCTCATCTACGTTCTCTTACATGCTTGTTTAAACAGGGCTATACAACCACACTACACATGCGTACAAGACTTAGCATTATTTATGCAGGTGTGTGTATGTATGTATGTCTATCCACTGGACAACAGCCACCGTTGGTTTGCAGGCAGCACTGTTCATTTGCGCTGTCGGTGTGCCGCCCAAGTGGGCCGTGGACAAGTTTCACAACGCCGGCATTCCCGCTGCCCGACCTTATTTGGGCATACGGGAGAAGGACAGTTCAAAGGACAGGGAGTAGTCGTATGGGTCTGTGGGATTTGCGTCCAGCTTCTTGCTTGGCACATTGCAAGCATGTATTTCTATTGAATATACTTCGTATCTATATCTATATATATATATATATGTATACAACATGACAATATACACACGCTTTTATATAACATATATGTGTATGCACACTCATGGTCATGTGCATGTGTGTGTCTATGTAAAAATATATACATATGTATATATATACCCTAACCATCGAACGCTTGAAAAAACAAGGCATTCCGCTTGGAACTACCAATCGAATCTGCTTCGCTTGAAAATACCAGGTGCGCCTGGTATGTCCTAGTGGACCTGCTAGGAACATGATGTTCTCCTATAGGTTCTTCGCTAGGTTCTCATCAATGCTTTCGCTAGGTTTTTAGAGCTGGGTGTAGAATGGAAAATGCAGTATGCACCTGTGCTTCCGCTTGAAACATGTTCCACTCTCCGCTAGGTTCCTCGCTAGGTTTTTATTTTCACAATAACCTAGTGGCCCCGCTTGAAATACCAATCGGAAACCCTCCGCTTGAAACTACCATGTGAATCCTGGTTTTCCTATCGGCCGATGCATAGGGTATATATATATATATACATGTGTATGTATATATATATATATGTGTGTGTGTGTTTGTGTGCATATTCCTGTCTACCTGTATATGAAAGTATGTATGTATGTATGTATGCATGCATGTATGTACGTATGTGCCCAAGTATGTACAGAGTACATGCGCGTGCGTGTCTATCAGGTATACTGTATATATATACACATACAGATACATATACATAGACAAATACATATACATATACAGATACGTATACATGCACATATACATATATATATATATACAGGTAGATGTGTGTATGGATATCGTTTTTATGCGAGGAGGTTGAGATTTGCGTTGACTTCCCTGCCGGGTTAGGTTGGCAGGATGTCCCAGTCCTGTGGCACGGTGGTATGGCCTTGCGAAGGTTATGAACATGATCGGCGCTGTGAAGCACGCTGACAAGGCTGTGGAAGCAGGCGTCGTCACTTGGCACTGGCGTGAGTTCTTGTGCGCGTGCCTCGATTTGAGGATGTCACGTGAACTTGGTGATTCGGAATGTTATGTTTGTTGCCGGTTCTCGACCTTTCCTTCGAAAGCCTCTCCCGAGGACATCATTTGCGCTCAGGGTGGCGAGGGCGGTGGCCACACAGGCATTTCTGAAGCGTGTAGCTTCATGCTTCATGGTGCTTGCTCACTGCCTGTAGATACTTGCTGTACTGCACCCACGTGCTGGCCATTTGCCTACATTGCTGCCGCAGTGCAGAGACTTATGTATCTTTGTTTGAGTTGACTGGCCTAGGGTTCTGGCTGTTTTCTGGAACTTGCTCCTGTCAGTGTCACTCTCACACACGCCGCAGTCAGCTCCAGATCATATGACTGGGAGGAAGCAGCTTTCATGCCTGTATGCACCGAGTAAACTTGACATCTAGATAAGGCCCAGACAGGAGACGAGTGTACCAATAAGCAGCTACTTTGCATCCCTGAACGAGGTGACACAGCCACGGCCATCTTGCTGCCCAAGGTGGTCGATGCCGTGCGGGGGAAGAAGTCCCCGCTGACCGGAGCGCCTATCCAGGTTGTGCCTCGGCTCCAAGAAATCGGGTTTTGAGCTTAATCAGGACCTGGGATGCCTTAGATAAAAGAGAGCTTTCAATGAGGTGCTGATACGCAGTACGTGCAGGGGGTCCATCCAACCACGCGGAAAGCGTGGAGTCTAGCTTTCGCGAAGGAGAGCATCCGGTCCGCGCAGCAGTGTCACTGTAGCACAGTTCAGTTCCACTCTCCGCCCCGAACTCAAAAGTCTTCTCAGGTGGCAGCAGGCGGTATCTTCGACGGACGTGGATTGGCCTCGGCACTGGCCATGGGCTGCACAGGCGTTTGGGTGGGCACGCGCACCTCGGAGGCTTGGGGTAGTGGGACTTTCAGTGCAGTTTGCGGCCTACATTTTTGGGGGTTGTTGAGAGCTGCAGGTCTCTGAAGCTTGTGCGGCTTTGATTTAAAGTGTTGGCTCAGCTGGAGGCCAGGTACGTTCTACCCGTTGCGTAAACGGCGAAGTTAAGTTGTAGTTTGAACCCCAGACAGAGTGGCGAGTCTTCTGTGCAGAAAGCCGGTGACCAAACCCTCCAACCTCCTGCTAAGGCTTCATTTGCTCAGATGAAGCCGGTGCTGGTCCCTTTCACAAGCAGCGCATCATGGACGCGGGCTTTAGCGACTCTTGGCGCAACGAGAAAAGATGCGTGGGACTTGTTATGTTGAAAGAAGTGAGTTCGGAATACATGGGTTTGGAGATGAGCCATAAGCTTCGGTTGAACTAGTCACGGTGATCTTGGGCAGCATGATGTTGGATTTGGTGTCTCATAAACAAACTCAGTAAGGAAGACTTAACATGTCATATGTATATCTATATTAATATAATTACAGAAATGTACATATCTGTAATTATATATATACACACACATGCATGCATGCAAGCAAGCATGCATAGGCATACATACATTTGTAATTACATAGACATAGGTGCATGCATGCATACTTATGTAGATACCATAACGGTAAATACAAGCACAGGCGACGATAGACCTGGATACAGTATTCATATGCTTATCTATGCACTGACTAAGCTACCTAGCTACTTTACCACCTAGCTATCCATCCATCTTTCATCCCGTCTATTTAGCTGCTAACTGCTTATCTACATGAATGTGGAGCATGCGCTGCAACATGGATTCTGAGTCTTGCCGAGAGCGCACAGGTTCCCACTCCAAGACGAAGGAGGAAAATGCTCCAGATTATCGCAAACTCTCAAATTTTCTTCGAAGAGAACCCCCTTGAAGCAAATCATGAATCGTGTCGTTCCGGTGCTGCTGCCCATGACTCCAAGGACACCCTCCGAACCACAATCTACACTGGCCGTCCGATGCGAAGCTCGGCCTACAGCATTTCGGGTTTACTAGGATCTAATGTTGAGGTTTTGGGTTAACCCTAATTAAACCCTAAACCCTAGATTAATTAGGGAATTTTGGGGTCTCGGCGAGGGGTGTTGTGGATCTTGGCTTCGAGACCTTTGAGTTCCGGGCTCCAGCTTGGAGAGTTCCGCCAATGTGGTTTAGGCTTTAGGTGTTCAGGGGTTCAGGGTTTAGGAGTTTAGGGTATGAACTGGACCGCTTCGCTCTTGCAGTTTGGGGGCGGACGTTGAGTTCTATCTTGTGTGAGTCAGGTTATGTTTGTTACTAGGCAACTCCTAGTTTCGGTATTATGATCAGTACTGCCGTTACTCTTATTATTCTCGGCTCCTGAACGATCTCTAACTTCCCTTATACAGAGGCTCCAGGCTCCCAGACCCCTTGGATCCTAACTTGAGGCTTCACGGGCATAGGTGTGCTTATGTAATTACATGTACCTTGAGAACTAGTTGCAGGGATAGTAGCCTTCACTCTAGCCCTACTTATGTAGTTCGCGCAGGAAGCCATTCACGCGTGCCCCATAAAACCCGGAAGCTTCAGAACCCTCTTCTGGATATACCTGGATGGGAGTGCGTTGAGGTTCAAGCTTCACCAATTCAGGGTGCAGTTTGCGGTCTTTGCAAAGTTTCACGTTTCGGGGGCTGAGGACGGCCCAGAAACAGTGCCGTGTTCAAGGTCACAGGCATCATTCAAAAGGGCTTAGTGTTGGCTATTTGGCAAAGCAACCCGTTGTTTGGCCAATGACCACAAGCTTGATCGGCATAGACTTTTGGATTCCGCTTCGAGTTTAGCAGTGCTGGCGCGGCTATATGGGGGATCTGCTTCTTACCAGAAGGATTTCCGCCCAAAGTTGAAACTGCGGGGTGGAGAAGCGTGTCGCGCCATCGGAAGTCGAGCATCAGAAACCTCCCACAGAAGGCCTTGTCCGTGCAGTTGGTGAAGATTTATCAGATAGATGAACATGTGGCTTGAAAGCGAGTCTAGTAAGAACACAAACGGCCATGTGAAGCAGATGCTTCTAATGCTACCTGTAGCAAGTCCCAAAACCAAGAAAATCGTCCAAGCCATGTCTGAGGAGTGCTGAAGACCCCGTACGTTCAGGACTGGGAGCAGAATCGAACGAAGGAGATGAAGGAACTCCAGGCCGCCTAGAGCAGGGCCTCGGAAAGAACCTTTAGAGCTGTCGCAATCATAGCGACTATAGCGACTGCCTGGACGACAACCACTACTGCTGCAACTAATCATTCTAGCATTACTACTGCTGCTGCTGCTGCTG